CTCACCCCCCAAAGGACTAAGTAGCAAATTACATCAGGTTATTTTATTTATTTTATTCAATATTTTACTCAAAATAGTATATTTATTATTAGGCCTGTGCAAAGCGGCTAGTATTCGCTTCAGATTTGGCCGATTCGGGGGACAGTGATTCAATTAGATGATTTGAATATATGTCCCAAATCAATTCAGCTGAATCTGATTAGGAGATTCAGCCACTGCCGAATTGGCCGAATCTCCAAATCAGACAGACCCTATCCCCTGCCCATCTCCCATCCTTGCCAATGGCTGCCCCGCCTGGCCTCAGCTCCCACCTCTTTAAAAAAAAAAAAAAACGGCAGCAGCCAGTGAGTGTGGGCTTTTTTTTTCCAAAGATCTGGGAGCTGGGACTGGATGGAGCAGACATGGGGGGTGGGGCTGGGAGAGCAGGTGGAGGTTGGGGGTTCATGGAAGAGTCCCCCACACAGTGCAGGGCAGTGGGGGTCAGTGGGGATTGCCCCCCCATCCTGGCAGAAGCCAGTGAGTGGGGGCTTTTTATTTCTTTATTTTTTAAAGAGCTGGGAGCTGAGACTGGGCAGGGCAGCCATGAGTGGGGGCTGAGAGAGTGGGCGGGGGTCAGGGGGCACTCAGGGGGGCTGGGAAGCAAGCAGGAGATAGGGCCTGGTGGGGGTGACCCATGGTCCCCTCCTCCTCCTGCAGGCCCCGCTCCCCGGCCCCCTACTTACCAGCATGGAGTCTGGGTCTAGGTCCCTGCAGCAGCGAGTGGGGACTGCCCAAATCTCCAAAGCTCTCTGAATCTTTTCTGAATTGATTTGGAGATCGATTCGGACCTTTTTATTGGTTTCCCAATTCAATTCAGATTTGGAGATTTGGCTGCTGAATTGGGCCGAATCTCCTCTGAATTGAATCAGCACCCGAAGCTTCGCACAGCCCTATTTATTCTTCAGAATCGGTTGGTTTTACTGAACTGTACCTGCTTAACTGTTTATTTTTCATATCAAATAATACACTTCTTGTACTCTAATTGGATGGAACTTTGGGTATCAGTGAAAACCATTCATTAACAGTAAATTTTAAAGTTACTACAGCTTCACAAACTTCCATTTTTAAAGCTATTCCATTTCTTTTCCAGACGGATGCTCCCTTCTACAGGTTAGAGGATATGAAAGTGCCAACTGCACTGTGGTATGCTGGAAATGATTGGATAGTAGACCTAAAGGATGCTGAAAGATTAATCCCTCAAATAAATAATATAGTGTACAAAAAATATATTCCTCATTGGACCCATTTTGATTTCATTTGGGGTCTTGAAGCACCTGAGCAACTATACAATGAAATTGTTAGCCTGCTGAGAAGGAATCCTTTGCAGAATTGTATAGAGTTACTGTAACTGTATATCATGAGTTCTTGTGACATCAGTTTTGTTTTCTCAGGGCCTCTTTCTTTTTTTAACATATGAAGGTGAGGTGTCTGGTTTGGATTTGTAATACTTCTGTAAATATGAAAAAGATTGTAGCTTGGTTCTAAGAAAACCAGGTTCAGTTCCCTGTTCTACTATACACTTCCTACAGACCCAGGCCAAGTGACTCAGGCCAAATCCTCGAGTCTTTATAAGTGTCTAACTCTCATTGTTTCCAAAGGTAGTTAGATGCAAAAATATCTTTATGGAGCTGAGCCTTGCAGCATCTTTGCACAGTCCAAGGACCACAATTCAAAGCAAAACATGTTGACTCCTCATTTGCTCACACCTGTAACAAATGAAATCTACCACTGCTGCAGAGCCATCTTCACAAGATGCTGGCCACACACCTATATATGTTGACTTCCTGCCCTTTGGGCAGGGGGCTGGACTCGATGATCTTCCGAGGTCCCTTCCAGCCCTGATGTCTATGAAATCTATGAAATCTATAAGCACAGCAAGCTTGCTAGTATGCACCCAACACTTTTCTAAGGGTGGCTATATTGCATCATTTCTGGGGTATAGTGCATGAAGAGCAGGTGTATCATGCTTCACTGCAGTACTCCCTAGGGCCATTGATTAATGAGATGTGCATCCTTAATCTTTTTGAGTGTTTTTACATGTGCTCTGGGGTAGGTGGGGGGCACTTTAATTATAGAAGCTCCAAGAGCATGTTTTTAAAAGCATCAAAATTATTTTAATACTGAATTTGTGTTTCAGAATAAAAATTAAACTGTTACAAAGTTGAGGTTTTACAGTTTTTGTGTGAAAATTATGAATGTTTTCACTACACAATAAGATAATTCTTCCTAGAGGCAAAGATTTCTTAGGGTAATATCTTTTATTGTACCAGCTTCATAGTTGGGATAGAGTTGGACAAGCTTTTGAATGCAAGGCATTCTTCAGGTCACTACAATCATTTTCACTCAAATTCAAATAACATCAGTTGAGAACTTGATGGTGTTTAACACCAAAAAATTCAAGGTTCTTCACCTTGGGAGGAAAAACCTGCAGCATCCTTATAGGCTCAGCAGTGCTACACTGGCTAGCACTATGAATGAAAAGGACTTGAGGGTCATGATTGACCACAAGATGAATATGAGCCGTTGATGTCCATCCTCCATGCCCAAAGGGAGGTAATCCCAACAAGGGTCAAAGGGGGCAAGAGGGCGCAAAAGCCCCCATGGCTCACCAAAAGCATATGGGAACATCTACTAGCTAAAAGGTAGGTGTACACCCAATGGAAGGGAGGGGCCATCACCAGGGAAGACTATACCTTGGTTGCTCGGGGCTGCAGGGGGGCGGTTAGGAAGGCAAAGGCAGAGATGGAACTGGGACTAGTTACCCAGATTAAGGACAACAAGAAGTCCTTTTTTAAACACATAGGGGGCAAAAATAAGGAACCCGGTAATGTGGGGCCTCTGCAAGACACGCTAGGGAATCTGGTTGTCGCACCAGATGACAAGGCTAACCTATTTAATGATTTCTTTGTCTCCATTTTCCTCAACAGGGACCAGATCAGCCCATCCACCCTCAGGCCCCGAGGGAGGCACAGCCAGGCCTAGGGTTAGTGAAGATCTAGTCAGGGAACTTCTGGAGGGACTGGACATATTTAAATGATCTGGTCCTGATGACCTCCACCCCAGAGTACTGAGGTAATTAGCAGAGGTCATTGCGGGACCCCTGGCATGGCTTTACGAGCACTTGTGGTGCTCTAGTGTGGTGCCAGAGGACTGGAAAAGGGCCAATGTGGTTCCCATTTTCAAAAAAGGGAGGAAGGAGGACCCAGGGAACTATAGGCCAGTTAGTCTTACCTCGATCCTGGGTAAGCTTTTTGAGAGAATTATCCTGGTGCATGTCCACGAGCGGCCAGCAGGGAAGGTTATGCTTAGGGGCAACCAACATGGGTTCATTAGAGGCAGGTCCTGCCAGACCAAGCTGGTGGCCTTCAATGACCAGGTCACCAAATCCTTAGACGCAGGGGTAGCAGTGGACATAGTCTTTCTGGACTTCAGGAAGGCCTTCGACACTGTCTCTCACCCCATTCTCATTAAAAAACTAGGGGACTGTGGTGTTGACACCTACACAGTCAAATGGGTTGCTAACTGGCTGGAGGGGCACACCCAGAGAGTGGTAGTGGATGGGTCATTTTTGACCTGGATAGATGTGGGCAGTGGGGCCCCCCAGGGCTTGGTCCTCGGACCCGCCCTGTTCAACATCTTCATCGGTGACTTGGACGAGGGGGTAAAAAGCACCCTATTCAAATTTGCTT